CTAATGCAGTGAAAAGCGCTCCCAAACGAACATGCCAATTTGTTCGGGACTAATATTATCACACGATGGTGTTTGGCGAAATATGGTAGGTCATTTTTAAATTATAGAATTATCAAATTATAGACATGGCCGATTCGCACGGGATTAAGATCACAGACAACCTCTGCAATTATTACAAATGACAAGAGGTAGGGCTCTAGTTTTCTTCAGAGCTATTAGCACATGTGTGATGCATTGACAAGACTAAAGTGGACATGACAGATTGCGCACAATATTATAATACACAATATTATAGGTGTGTGTGTGTGTCAGGGCTGGAGTGGGACTCATTTTCAGCCCTGGAGTTTCATGCCCACTTTAGTTCATACCAAACTATATCACTATACTATATTATATTATATACCTCAGTAGGCTATATAAGTTTGCAATAGTGCACTGTTCTCCACAGCCTTGTAATTCATTGTATTTTTCTGGAGATTTCGTTTTGATGTACAAATCTTAACTTAAGAAATGGAAAATAGGGGACAATTGTAATTTTTTTTTAAAGGAAATAATAGACAGAATAAGGGACACTCAAAATATTTATACAGTACCATAATGTATGCCTGCCTGCAGTTAAAAAGTTCCCAGAAATAATCACATTTGTTTTGCTTAACCTATAATTAGCCTATTCAAAAATAATTGCAATGTCATACAAAAAATTTAATCGGCCTGAGTAAATTGTACTATTATAGAATTGTGACTTCACAAGTAGTGTAGAAGGCTAATTTAGGAGGTGAAAATACTGTGAAATTACATACATACAAATGGCATGAAATTTGAAAGCATAACAACTGAACGTCTATGAATCGTCAGTCAATAAAGCATTTTTTTTTTTTACAATGGCACTTGAATTTTTTAACTAAACTTTTATTGCAACCATTAATGTATTTGGTCTTGGCGGAATAAATCTGCTACACTGCTACTGTTGGTTATTGCTGTTGTTGTAGATTATTGCTGCTGCTGCTGCAAAGCAAGTACAGGAACTTGCTACTGCCAATACATATGCCGATACGGTGCTGTGAGTATTTAAGACATACTGCTGCTACACATATAACATATATAATAACCCGTAGCAGATCTATACAGGTGGAGCTGGGGAAGGTGGAGGGTTTCAGTGGAACTCTGAAAGAGCACTGCAAACTGCTCTAGTGAGTGCTAACCAGCCGTTTGGCTGCGAATGCAACATGAACCAATCAGCTTGTGCCAAGCAGTTTAGCTATGAATATCAACAATTTGCATTAACGACCCATCAGTCTGCATCATCTAGAGTTTCATGACACAACTTCTAACCCGAGTCAGACTTGAAACCCGAAGGTCGTGGGTTCGAGTCTTAGTACCGGCAGGAAATGTAGGTGGACGGACAGCGCTCTCTTCTGATATGACTTATTATATAATTAGCATCAAACAAACAATATAATTCTTCCAAGTGGTTTGCTGACCATGATATTACTGTGCTTGATTGGCCAGCCAACATGCCTGACCTCAACCCCATGTGGGATCTATGGGATATTTTCAAGAGAAAGATGAGAAACAGTTGATTAAACAATACAGACGAGTTGAAGGCCGTTAAGAGTCTTAGTACCGGCAGGAAATGTAGGTGGACGGACAGCGCTCTCTTCTGATATGACTTATTATATAATTAGCATCAAACAAACAATATAATTCTTATTCTCAAGTATTAAAGATTAAACTAAAAAAAAAAAAGATTGCACAACCACCAATTAGGTGGCGATATGCACTAAGCATGTAAATGACCTTTGAACAGAAGAAGAAGAAAGAAGCAGTATGGCACGCTTTTTCTTAGCGTCAGTTTCCATAGTGACTCGTCGATTCATCGCTCTGTTGAGAATGTCTTGCGTGTTAACCAGGAATATACTCTGATTTGAAAGAAAAACAAAAAAAACTTTTGAAATGTTTTACTTTACATGTAATGAATCTAGAATACTGTATATGAAAGTTTCACTTTTTGAAATAAGTTACAAAAAAAATGAACGGTAACACTTTCTATGAAGCCCATATTTATAATATATTATAAGGGTATTCTTAAGGCATTGTAATTAATGCATAATGCATTATAAAAACGGTTGAAATTATTAACTAGCTCACATCAAAATTAATATTAGCCTCACAGGGAACACTCAAATAACACTCCACACCTAACCACTTACAAGATGTAGTAAGATACTGTGCAGATCTTAAATAAACAATGTCAAGATATCTAGTCCATTATAAATGTAAAAATAGATTTCATATGGTGTTCATTGTGTGTTATAAATAATCATAATCTTAAAACGTATAACCACAAATGCGTAAGCATTATAATGTATTATAATTGTTGTTATGATTATTTATAAGATGATATAACATATTATAATGTATTTTATAATGCATTATGCATTCATTATAATGTCTTAAGAATACCCTTATAATGTGTTATAAATATGGGCTTCATAGAAAGTGTTACCAAAATAACTTTTTGACGATATCCTAATTTTTTGAGATGCACCTGTATGTATACACACACACACAAACATTATTTATTCACCTCATACTCGTGTATTGCAGGTCTTCTGTTCAGCATTTTGCTATAGGAAACAAAAAAGCAATTTCATAGTTTCATACATAATCAAATATCCTTCTGCATTAGTTTGAAAGTAAACGATGTTTATATACACTTATATTTTATTTACATTATAAATAGTATAATGATGCTGATGATGATGATGATGATGGATAATCCTCCAGATGTTGCTGCGATCACAATCACATTCCTACCAGCACCATGATGAACTGAAAGCAAAAGATCACCATAATTAACAAACTGATGAATGATGTGAAGATACAGGATTGTGTTAATAAAAGCTTCACCTGTGACATTAACAGCATCTGATCTCTGAGATCCATATTGATTGTGAGCCTCACAGTAGAAGCGTCCACTCTGTAGTGCACTGAAACTCTGTCCAGATCCAACAGCTGAGCTTTGATTCTCCTTAAACCAGCTGAAGTTCAGAGCAGGAGGGTTTGAATCACTGCTGCAGCTCAGAGTCACTGAATCTCCCTCCACTATTTCACCAGAGACAGACACGAAGACATTCTTTGGAGGATCTAACACAGACAATAAAACAACAATACATTTGAGATCACAAATGTTTAGAGCAGAGGTCTTCAACCCTGCTCCTGGGAGCCAATGTCCTGCAGAGTTTAGCTACAACCATAATCAAACACACCTGAAGCAGCTAATTAAGCTCCTCAAAACTTCTTGAAAATACACATGCAGGTGTGCTGAAGCAGGTTGGAAATAAACTCTGCAGGACAGTGGGTCCCCAGGAGCAGGGTTGAAGACCACTGGTTTAGAGTATTTAATATCACAGTTACTGAACCATTATTTACTCACACATGATGTTTAAAGTCGCAGTATCAGAGTCTTTCTCTCCATGTTTATTTCTGGACTTGCACTTGTATTCTCCACTGTGGTCAGAGCTGATGTCTGAGATGCTGTAGATTCTTCCAGATCCTACAAATGTTCTTCCTTTAAACCAGCTGATTTCTGCAGGTGGGTTTGAATCACTGCTGCAGATCAGAGTCACTGAATCTCCCTCCACCATTTCACCAGATGGACTGATGGACAATAAGACGTTCTTTGGAGGATCTAACACAGGAAAACCACTCATATAATTAACACCCACACTAAATTTGAAATGACAGACTATTTTTTACAGGATATAATGTCAGTTATTGAACCATAATTAACTCACACATGATGTTTAAAGTCACAGCATCAGAGTATTTCTCTCCATGTTTATTTCTGGACTTGCACTTGTATTCTCCACTGTGATCAGAGCTGATGTTTGAGATGCTGTAGATTCTTCCAGATCCTACAATCATTCTTCCTTTAAACCAGCTGATTTCTGCAGGTGGGTTTGAAGCACTTCTGCAGCTCAGAGTTACTGAATCTCCCTCCACTATTTCACCAGATGGACTGATGAAGATCACAGGATTCTCTGGAGGATCTACAGGAAGTGTATTTAAAATAGTATTGTTAATCAGTAGTTCATCACTGAAGGCCTCAAATAATCAATTTAAACTCTGAGTTGAAGCTTTTACATGGATATTGAAACTTTGAACATGGTCAAGTTCTTCCAAACCAGAGTCAGTAACAGGCTGCGTTTAAACTTGGCATTAAAATGCGACCTGTATCCAGATATTGTCCACATACACATTGAAAAGACAAGTCTAAACGCGCTTCTGATCAGAATGTTATCAGATCAGCGTGTCCTGGTCTAGAGGTAGTCGAGTAATGTAAACTCTATCCAGCCATCGTGTCTGCATTCGCAGGTCGACGTCACGCAAAACCCCGCCCCCTCTCTCCTTAACTTTCAGAAAAAAGAGGCCATGGAGCGCTAGTAAGACTCGTACACTTATATCCTCGTTTTGTGGGATTTGTAAAATGTCCCGCGACTGAAAATGGTTTTCAAAAGAAAACCCACCACTTCAGGTTGACTTTGCACTGGGGCCATCCTCTGCAGACTTATTTAAATATTGCGTGAGAAAGACAGATACGATTGGTTATCCAGATAGAGAAGTCAGTTGATGTTGCCAAGTGTAAACATGCCGTGTCCTGATTGACTGATGATCTGCTTGATCGGATCACGGTGATCACATGTTAATGCCAAATGTAAACGCAGCCACAGTAGCATGTTTAGGCATCATGCAATTGCACGATGCCTACCGAGGGGGAAACACACATGATTTCAACCAAGGGACCCCCCAAAAAGACTATTAAATGGAGAATTAACAAATGTCATGTAGATATGCAATATCAAAAAATACAATATCATGTAAACTTAAAGGGATATTTCACCCAAAAATGAAAATTAGCCCATTATTTACTCACCCTCAAGCCATCATATGCGTATATGACTTCCTTCTTTCAGATCAATCCAATCGGAGTTATATTAAAAATTTACTTTGATCTTCCAAGCTGTTTAATGGCAGTCAGCGGGTGTTGCAGTTCATCAATCCAAAAGAAGTGAAATAAAGCGCATGCATCCATAATAAAAAGTGCCTCATATGACTCCGGGGGGTGAACAAAGGCCTCCTGTAGCGAATTGATGCCATTTTGTAAGAAAAATATCCATATTCAAAACTTAATAATCACTTTCATCTAGCTTGCGCCAACAGTTGTACATGGAAGCAGCTCCAGGAGGATGATGTAAGATGTCGGCGTTGCGCATGCGCCGGTGAGCCTTGTGAAAACCAACGTTTGTTTATAGGAGAAAAGGAAGCAAAATGTCCTTACTTTAGCAAAGGAAAACAAGTCTCCTCTTGGCTTATATCGAAATCCTCCAACATTCTTCTTTACAAATCCTCGTTTTGTACTTCTAATTCATGACCGTTGTTTTGTTTTGATCTCTCCCCTGCGCTTCCGCGTTCGTCACTTCTGAGCAGCTCATGCGCAACACCGACCTCATACGTCATCCTCCCGGAACTGCTTCCGTTTACAACAGTGAGCGCAAGCTAGATTAAATTGATTATTATGTTTTAAATATGGTTATTTTTCTTACAAAAACACATCGATTCGCAACAGGAGGACTTTGTTCACCCCCTGGAGCCTTGTGAGGCACTTTTTATTATGGTTGGATGCGCTTTATTTCACTTCTTTTGGACTGTTGCACTGCAACACCCGCTGACTGCCATTAAACAGCTTGAAAGATCAAATACAATTTTTAATATAACTCTGACTGGATTTGTCTGAAAGAAGAAAGTCATATACACCTAGGATGCATTGAGGGTGAGTAATTCATGGGGTAATTTTCATTTTTGGGTGAACTAACCCTTTCAGTCAGAGATAAAGTTTAAAAATTGAAATTTACTGAACTATCATTAACTCACACATGATATTTAAAGTCACAGCATCAGAGTTTCTCTCTCCATGTTTATTTCTTGACTTGCACTTGTATTCTCCACTGTGATCAGAGCTGATGTTTGAGATGCTGTAGATTCTTCCAGATCCTACAAAGGTTCCTCCTTTAAACCAGCTGATTTCTGCAGGTGGGTTTGAATCACTGCTGCAGCTCAGAGTCACCGAATCTCCCTCCACTATTTTAGTAGATGGACTGATGGACAATAAGACGCTCTTTGGTGGATCTAACACAGAAAAACACTGATTTGTTTAACAACCACTCTAAATTTGCGATGACAGACTATTTTTACAGGATTTAATGTCAGTTATTGATCCATAATTAACTCACACATGATGTTTAAAGTCACAGCAGAGATTTCCTCTCCTTGTTCATTTCTGGACTTGCACTTGTAAATTCCACTGTGATCGGAGCTGATCTTTGAGATGCTGTAAATTCTTCCAGATCCTACAAACATTCTTCCTTTAAACCAGCTGATTTCTGCAGGTGGGTTTGAATCACTGCTGCAGTTCAGAGTCACTGAATCTCCCTGCACTATTTCACCAGATGGACTGATGAAGATCACAGGAATCACTGGAGGATCTATAGGGTAAATATTTGAAATATTATTTTTAATTAGTAGTTAATCTCTAAAGGCCTCAAAGTGTCAAGTTCAACTTTGAGTTGAACATTTTACATGGATATTGAAACTGAACATAGTCATGATTGATTAATGCACACTGACTCTGTCTGATTCAAATTAATCTCAAATGTGTTCAGTGAGGTTCAGATCTGGTCTTCATGCAACAAAGTTCTTCCAATCCAGAGTAAAAACCTTTTCTTTATGGATCTCACTCTGAATATTGTCATGCAGGAGCCAAAAAGGCACATAGACTCTATTCTACTCAAACTGTTTGTCTAAGTGTCTGTTGATGTGACTGCTGTTAGCGGAACTGAAAGAGTCAAAGCCATTAATTACTGTCAAGTGTGTGTTCTGTTTTGGGTTTTGTTCTAGTTTTCCTTGTTCTTGTGTTTAACCCAGTTTATTTTGTTCCCAATTTCCTGCCACCGGTTGGTTTCTATTGTTTCAGATTAGTTCACACCGGTTTTTGTTCTCCCTGATTAGCCCTCTATGTATTTAAGCCTCGTGTTTGGTTCAATTTAGTTTTCTGTTATTGTTGCATTCTACATGGTTGTTTAATTGTGTGTCCTGTATATACTGAGATTTGTTTAATAAATTTAAATAGTACTGTGACTAGATCTTGCTTCAACTATATTTGCAACCCATTTGTGACAGAGTGGGAGTGGGAACTCATCCACAATGCTTCCCCCTTTACCATCTGCGAGAGTGAGGAGGAAGTTAGCACTCCAGCAACTACCACCAGTCCAACACCAGCGATGCCTGAGCCTTCCGAGGTACAAAAGCCAGAGCCAACACCAGAGCCACAGATCACCCCGAAACCCAAGCCAACCACATCTGACTAGTTGTGTGAGCCGGCAACATTCCTTGTTCACCAACATCACTTGTGGAGTATGAGGGGATGTTGTGGAGCCCTACCCCCTCTACAACGGCAGACAAAGGAGAGCTAATTGATTGGGAGAGTGAGTGCTTTCTGCTTGTGTCATTTCTCTGCACAGATTCTGTTTCACCTAGCACCACACCGCTTGACTCCGTGTTTCCACCATTGGTTCCGCCCAGCACTGTGTCTCTGGTTCTCCCCAGCTCTGAATCTCCTGTGTCTCTGCTGGTTCCGCCCAGTACTAAATCTGTGTTGTCGTTGATTCTCCCGTCCAGCCTCCCTCTCAAGCCTCCTCTTCCAAAACCACCCAGTCTTTTGGCTCTCCATCCGATGGTTCCCTCCAGTTCCTCGGCTCTTCCTCTGTTCTCCACTTTGTAATGTGGATGAGCCTCAGATCTTCCAGTATCCATCTCTGTTCTGGGGTGTCGATCCCCTGGCTCCACCTCAGTTCTCAGAGTTCTGGCCTCCACCTCGTCCTTCCGACTCTTCAGCTCCTCCTTGGCTCCACGCTCCCTTAGCTCCTTTGGGTTCTGTCAGTCCTTGGACTCCACTGGGCTTCCTCGTCCCTCCGGCTCCGCCTTGGTCAGTCGTCGACATGCCTCCACCATGGTTTTCCATTCCTCTGGCTGTGCCTCAAACCTCCATCCCCATGGCTCCGTCGGGCTCCTCCTTCCCTCCGTCTCCACCTCGGTACCTCAAGCCTGCAGCTTCACCTCGGCCCCTAGGTCTTCGCTGACACGTCTGGGTCTCCACCACCATCGGCTCAGACTCATTTACTTGTTCGCTCTGGAAAAGCCTGCCAAGCCGCTTTCATGGCTCCTCCCTCCCTTGATTCCGCTTTGGGACTTCTGCTGGGGGTTTGCCCCTTGCTCCTTCTACCTGTGTCTTCACCCTGGAATCTTCCACCTTCGACGCCTCCCTAGATTCTGTTAGCTCTGCCCTGGTTCTTTCATTATTCCCTTCTTACAGTCACCTCCTGAGCTTCCTCCCACCCTCCTCTGTTGAACTTATTTTCTATGGCGCAAAGATGTGCCTTTAGGAAAGGGGGGCTGATGTAGTGCATTTTCTATTTCGGGTTTTGTTCTAGTTTTCCTTGTTCCTGTGTTTGACCCAGTTTGATTTGTTCCCATTTTCCAACCACTGGTTGGTTTCTATGGTTTCAGATTAGTTCACACCTGTTTCTGTTCTCCCTGATTAGTTCTGTGTATTTATGCCCTGTGTTGGGTTCAGTTCAGTTGTCCATTATTGTTGCATTCTGTGTGGTTTTGTTCTGTGTCCTGTATATCCTGAGTTTTCTTTAACCCTTTCATGCATTATTAAATCACAAAGTAATATTTTTTAATGTTTGTTTTTACTTTTAAATGAGAGAAAAAAATAATGGCATCAAACGTTCACTGGAGTGGACAGATATATTTTCTGTCACAGAAAAAATGTCCAAGAAAAATATTGTTAAAATCTGGATAAAACTATTTCTGACATCCTATTTAGCTGGGGAAAAAAATTGTACCTGTCTGGTTTTCTGAGAATAAAAGCATTTAACACTTATTCCTGAGGTACTCGGTGCATCTCCTCTTCCCGTCGCCTTTTTGAATATATGATACGATATCTCAAAACAAAAAATAGATACAAAGACAATACTTAAATGGAATCGGTGACAGCACTTTGGGAGTTCACCACCTGGTGGTTGGGACATGTTACCTAAACCTAAATGGTTTAAAGTGGCTTCCAAATATCTATCCACTGTAGTGGACACCATGCATGAAAGGGTTAATAAATTTTAAATTCTGCTGTGACTAGATCCTGCTTCAACTATTTGCAAACCATTTGGGACAATTACTAGGAGTGTCCACAGATTTTTTCTTTATATTACTGGAACCTTCAAAGAAACGTTCATATACAATAAAAAAATATACTCACATGTGACATTGAGATAAACAGCAGGAGAGATGTAAGTGTGTCCATGTAGAGCACAGCTGTATCTGCCAGCATCCTCCCTTCTGACCGAACAGAGGGTGAGTTCGTTTTCAACAGTTTCTCTAGTTAATGGCTGTGAGTTTCTGTACCAGATGAATGTTGCACTGTCAGTCAGATCGCAGCTGCTTTTACATGTCAGACGGACTGAATCGCCCTCTGTCACTCTCTCAGGAGACTCCACCTGAAGATCTGAACACAATAAACACAGTATATCTAGTGCTGCTGTCATACACTGATTATTATTCAACATAATGCACAGAAGAAGAGTGAAACCTCATGAAAGTCACCTGTGACAGTAAGAGACACTCCTGGATAACCAATCCAATTTCCGTGAGCTACATTAGTAGTGATTTTGCAGTAGTACATGTGTGAATCTTTCAGTGCCAAATGACTCAGTCTAAGGTTGCTGTACCACTGTACATCTCCACAATAGTAAACCCTCTGACTGTATTCAGGGTCGTCAGACAGATCTGGAGGCTCTAAATTATCTATAGCAAGTGTTTTGGTCCAGAACACATTCAGGATCCAATATGCAGGTGGGTACGTATAACTGCAGCTCATTGTCACTGATGAGTCCTTTAGTGCACAGATGTATGAATCACTGTAAGTCACACCCAGGCCATACTGTCCATAAACTCCTGAAACACACATTAAAGGGATTCTCATAAGTTCCTCATGTTGTCCCAAACATTTATGCTGTACATTAGTTTTAATTCAACATGCACATTTTAGTGTGGGAGAGACATTAAGCAGGGGCGGATCTAGAAAATAATTTGTAGGCTGGCAAAGGGGTGGTATGGGGTCTATGAGGGGTGGCAACACCAAAGCAAGCCCCCATGCATAGCTTTTGGGGATTTATGGTCTGACATACACAGTTGTGTTCCCAAATATTGTATTACCATTAAGTAATCATCTATACTGTTTAAAATGAAAAATAAATAACATTTCAATATCTATCATGGCACCAAGTCTATGCACAATATAAAAAACTTCAACAGGTTATACAGTTTCTGAGCTTGTATCTGTCACGGAGACACCATCTACAACCATCTACAACCACAGAATCAATCACGCAACCACGCCCTCAATCACCTGAGTACTGAGCACCTGCACTTCATTATCACACACTATAAGAGCACACTCACCACTCTGATTCTTCGGCTGGTCTCAAGGTTACGCCTTCAATGTCTTTCTCTTCGGCTCTGCTAAAAGACTGTAACTTACCTGTGCTCTGCCTATCACCAAGATCTTTGTGTGCTCAAAGGATTGTGAACTGGAAACCGGGTGTTTCAGATAAGACTGTTCTCATGCACTCTCTGCCACATTCACCTCAGTTGCGTCCACGGAGATACCTCTGTTGATATGAGTTTGTGTTGACTTTTAATTAAAAGTGAAGTTTACGTTACCTGCATCTCTCCTAGTCTTCGTCTTTGGCACACTGTGACAGAAGACCAGCCCAAAAAGAGAAACATTATGGAAACCAGGAGACCTTCTGAACCGGATCCAGTCACCGAACTCATCACGATGCTTCGCACGGCACTCCAACTGTCAGTCACTTCACCTGCCTCCGCCTGTCCCATGGCCAAACCAGCAGTATATTCGGGTGAGGTCAGAATGTAACGGATTCATATTACAATGTCAATTGTATTTCGAGATGCTTCCCCAACAGTTCTCCGGAGACCGCGCAAAGATATCCTTCAACATCTCTCTGCTGTCAGGAAGAGTTCGTCAATGGGCCGAATCTCTATGGAGGTCGAAAAGTCCGGTAATTCGATCCCTTGACTCTTTCGTAACCCATTTTAAAGACGTTTTTTGGTACTGGTGCCTCTTCACTCTCTGTGCATGAAGAACTTTTCAGACTGCGACAAGCTGAGCGGACTGTCCATGAATACACCATTCATTTCCGCAAGCTAGCGGCATCCAGCGGCTGGATTTGTGAAGGGATGCTCAGTCTGTGCCATTATTTCTACACCCCGTCGTCTACCTGAGGGCAAACTGGTACCACTGCCAATTCCGCGTCGACCCTGGTCCCATCTAGGAGTTGATTTCGCCACTGACTTACCTGCCTCTAACGGCTTTACCACCATCCTCGTTGCAGTCGATCGATTCTCCAAGGCCTGCAAACTCATTCCGTTAAAGGGTCTACCTACCGCCCTTGAAACTGCAGAGGCCCTCTTCAACCAAGTCTTCCGACACTTTGGCATTCCAGAGGATATAGGGTCAGATAGAGGGCCTCAATTCATCTCCAGGGTCTGGCGCTCATTCTTCCGACTGTTGGGAGTGTCGGTTAGTTTGTCTTTCGGATATCACCCTCAGACGAATGGCCAGACTGAGCGGAAGATTCAGGAGATTGGGCGCTATGTCAGGGCCTACTGTCACCACCAGCAAGACAGTTGGAGCCAATACCTTCCTTGGGCCGAGTATGTACAAAACTCAATTTGTCAGGAATCCACCGGCCTCACTCCCTTTCAGTGTATACTCCGTTACCAACCACCACTATTCCCTTGGTCAGAAGAACTGTCCGAAGTCCCATCCATGGATTATTGGTTCAGAGAGAGTGAGATGGTATGGGACTCAGCTCACGTCCATCTTCAGCGGGCAGTCCGACGTCAGAAGGCTCAGGCGGATGTCTGTCGTCGGGATACTCCTCTCTACCAGCCAGGTGATCGAGTTTGGCTCTCCACTCGAGATATCCGCCTACGACTGCCCTGCAAAAAGCTGAGTACCCGCTATATAGGTCCCTTCAACATCTTGAGGCAGATAGATTAAGTGACTTATGAACTCCAGTTACCCAGACAATATCGTATTTCACCAACCTTTCATGTATCCTTGCTCAAACCTGTCACTGATCCTGTTCTCCCTCCTTCCACAGAACCGGCAGTGCCTCCTCCTCCACCCGAGGTTGCAGCCGAAGACACCATCTGCCGGGTCTGGGAAATCCTAAATTCCAGGCGACGGGGCGACCGTCTACAATACATCGTCGACTGGGAGGGGTACGGTCCCGAAGAGAGATCCTGGGTGGACAGAGATGACATCCTCGACCCTTCATTAAGTGACGATTATCACCGACTCCACCCGGACCGTCCCGCTCCCAGAGGCCGAGGCCGGCCTCGTCGTCATGGTTCCCGGACATCTGGAGACGCCCGTGGGGGAGGGGGTACCACGGAGATACCTCTGTTGATATGAGTTTGTGTTGACTTAATAAAAGTGAAGTTTACGTTACCTGCATCTCTCCTAGTCCTCGTCTTTGGCACACTGTGACAGTATCACTAAAGACATGCAGTTCTATTAAAATTACATAGGCTACTTAGAAGTTTAAGAGCAACAAAAATGTTTGAATTTCCTAACATTAGAAAGAAATAATATTTGTTGACAATAATATCAAAGCACTGAAACTGTATCAGTTTTGAAAACCATGTTTGATTTTCTCTTAGTAACAGAGGTGGGAATGTCTGTAATCATCCAGAACAAACTCTATCAACCATATACTCTAGCATCACCCCAGCAACTGCATAGCAAGAGCCTAGCAACCACCCAGAATATCCTAGCTACCAACTAGCAACACTTTAGCGAACATCTAACTGACCAAATATTTACATTTTTTTTAACAAGACTTTAAGACAAGCCAGCATACATTTGTCTTTCAAACTTTTCAATCTAGTTATTATAGTTTTTCTTACAGGTTTTTTTCCAACCTCTTGCACACATTTTCAAAACTTTGCCTCTTTTTTTTTTTTTTCTCAAACTTTACACACAAATCCATGAATTGCACACACAAAATGCAAAATGCCTCACATCTCTTGCAAAAAGAAGCCCTGCATTCAAAATATCACAAACACATCTCAAAAGCAAACATTTGTAAATACCTTTACCATAATATTAATTCCCGTTAGATTTTTGTGTGTTACATGGAGAATTGTGTGTTGTGTTTTGCAAAAAGTGTTTTATGAAATACAGATGACTTTCCTGCCCAGTGAACACTGAGATCAATAACACTGTAACAAAAAACTCTTACTAGGATTCAGGAATTATTGTTGCAGCTCAATGTCTATTACGGTATACATAAATTAAATTACAGATACAGATGTATTTTTCAGCAATGAACTTTTGGGGAAAAAAATCTTTTTCATTTTACTACTGTAAAGTAATCTTGCAGTAGATGAAAAGCACTAGAAAAGTTCACATACCAAAGAATTGTATGAACTTGGTATGCACCACAATACAGTACAGTAAAAAATAAAATTAAAAAAAGTACATTTAGCATCCTCTGCACATTTGTCCAAATTTCATTACAGTATACAGTACTATAGCAGTTTCTTGGTCTCCTGACACAAGACTAGCTATATCTCTAGGCAGTCATTTCTCAGTTCTGCAAAAATGCAGTACAAATAAAATTTGACAGTCACACGCTTGAAGGTGTGCAACATGTGCTACAGTTTACTGTACATATAGAATAGTGAAATTTCCATTATCTAATGTACTGGTACTGTACTGTAATTATTCTGTATGTGTAAGTTCAAAACCCCTGTAGATGATTGGTTCAGCTCTCTCCTCTCTCCGTTGTTAGCATGCAGAGATTCTGATTGGTGTGTCATCTGTTTTGCTACATAATGTTTAACTATATATTAGCTATTCACGTGAGCATGTTTATACTAAAATAATTTGTGTGGGGTGCTGTAGAGCTGGGGAGGCTCAGGCACCCTCCTGCTTACAACATTAGTTGACACATTAGCAACATTAGCTGAGAAATAATTTTGACCTCACCTTTCAGCTCTTGTATTGGCAATAAACTAAAGGCAAAAAGTAAATCTCTCAGGGACATTCAAACATAACTTCTCTGTCTGTGGTTAAAGTGACAACATCCAGTCTTGCTCAATGTATGTTTCAAAATTCTTCAAATGTATAAAAACTGTTGGACCCTGTTTACAAACTTTTTTTTTTTTAAACAAAAAGTTACCTAAATGCAGGTGCGGATCTACCGGGGTGGCACGGGGTGGCAACTGCCACCCTAAGAAAAAGCTGTGCCACCCCACCTGCCACCCCAGAATTATCACAGAATAAAATATAAATGTAAGCAATGTTTCATGTGCTACTTTTCAGCCGCGGCGATGACAGAGTAACGCAAAATAATGGCAAAAACACGTCTTATATCTCAACAGCCAATATCTCCACGCACGCAGCGTGCCAGT